TATCAAATTATCTTCTTACTCATATTCCTATTGAAACTCAGATTCAATAATATTGTGTTTCATATTTAATTTTTTAATTTACGCAAAATTGCCAATGTTAAAAGCCTTGAAAGTCAAATTTCTATTTTCATTAAAATATTTAAAATACAACATTTCTAATAAAGACAAAAGTGGCAAATAAAGCCACATACTATCAAATCATTTGACAAATACATATGATGAAAAACAATGAGACAAAAGTTACAACAAAACATTATTAAAATTATGTAGTGCTTGCTATGTTCTAGTTGGCAATATGAAAAATTGAACAGAGTGACTACATTTTACTAGTCTATAGATACGAAGAGATTCAATCTAATCGCGACAAACTGGATTGAAAATAAAAAAAATGTGCAGCCTCCAACGTCTAGCTCGGTGGCAATAAGAAAAAGAAGGCACAGCGCTCTGCAGCCTTAATGAAATCCTCTTTGAAATGTTGCAATCTCTATAGCAATGAAGCTCCGGAGGCAACGTTGATTTTAACCGTGCTTTGAAATGAATATCTTTAAAGTAAAAATGTTTCTTCAAAATACAGATAAGATGTATTTCTAAATAAATTATAAATCATAAGTTTGATTTGTGCTTTAAAATCATTATTCTGTGAAATAAAAAAGAAACTTTAGTTTTTTATATTTAAACGGTCTGTTTGTTTCGGTATTGTTTTTCAAATATTTATCAAAAGATACTCAGAACGACATAACTAGTCGTCATAAAATGATATTACCTTAAAGAAAGAAATTACGAAACTGGTATATAAATGTTTAAAACGAACTCTTAAATTTTTATTTAAAGTCAAAGTTTTATTCTGTTCACAGCTTAGGCAAGCAATATATTGCATCTCCAAGTGTCAGGGAATCTAAAATTTTAACGACTCAAAAAAAAACGAGAGTTGTTAGTGTGAGTGCGGGTGTCGGTGTGTATAGCTTAGTGCCCGTGTGTGCGTGCCGTGATCGATGGCGTTGCGACGTTGCCGTCCCTCTCACTTCCGGTCGACGCGTTGCCGTTCCGCCAGGGCGGGCGGACGCAGATTAAAGCCTTGGACTTTTAATTTGTTAATATTAGATCAACATTCAATGTACAAGGTGAAGTGTTTTAGTTTAATTATACTTTAATTGAAACTGCTGCAAATAAAATAAATTTTATCTTTATTGCAAAAAATATTTCTCGCTAAAACAATGCAAAATTAATATTCATATTGAAACTTTTGTGAAAAATAACAATACATTAATTAGATCAACTCGAGGAGTCTAAAGTCATTACAATAAATGTAATTAAAAAATCCGTTTCATGATTAAAAATAAAAGAAAAATACTTGTTAAAAACAGCTTTTATTACAGTCTTGTTGAACAAAAATAAAAATCAAACTAATTGTCATTCAAACGAGCTCAGACACGACGCGGTTGTGTCGTTTAATTGCAAAGATTATATGGCCACCAATTTTAACTCAATCAGGAACCGGGAAATGAATCAAATGTAGTTTGCAAGATTTGATGACAAACATACACTGTACATGGATGTTTGTTAGAAGGTATCTGCAAAACGGCTCAGTGGATCTCGATGAAAATTGTCGTAGATGTAGAACATAATCTCGAAAAGCACAATGTAGATACTTTTTAATTCCGCGTGGAGTGAGTCATGGGCGCAAGCTAGTTTTTTTATAATTTACATTACCACAGATTGAATAAATCGTAGCATTAAACAACCTCTTAATAATATAAAGTTTGCACCAAAAGTTTTTCAATAAAGGCATCGGTTTTCTGTCGTGCCGTCTCAGCAGTTTTCCGGTCTGTGAGAGGGAATATCCTTTTCACCAATTTATAAAGTTAAATTAACTTTTTAATTTAATCAACGAATTAAATCATACGAGAAAATAAAAGGCACGTTCACAATATTCCCGAATATAAACGTGGATGATGTAAGGTTTCAAGCTAGACAGTTTTTGTGTTAGTTAATTTTGCTATATCGGAAAAGGCCGTAACAATCTGAATCCAAATCTTGCTACTTATTTATATTATAAATGCGAATGTTTGAATGTATGGATAGTTGGATGTTTGTTAGAAGGTATGTCATGATGTTTGCATGTGTTAGAACATAGGTTGAAAGAGCACATGGGCTACTAATTAAGTGTTTTTTTAATCTATGCGGACGGAGTCGCGGGCGACAACTACTAGGTGCATATACGGTTTTACTACATAAATAAAAATCAAGGTGATCAATACAGTTCAAAATTATACTTTTTCAAATCAGTATTTTAATTATATTTAAATTTAATATGGAAAATTATGTCCTCTTTTTCCTCGACCTTCATCGTTGTTTATTTGAAGATACAGGATTGACTTCAAAGATAAGTAAAATAAAAATAAATAAAAAAATACGAACAGATATGTTTTTGACCAGAATATATGTTATAGAAGTTTTGACAGTGTAAAAAAATTGTCTAAGCAATAGCAGTAGTTTTTCTTCTCCTATTTGATGTGATCCAAAGAAAACCTCGCTAAACATTTTCGATAGAAAATTGATGACAAACCATTCAGATATAAACTTGGGCAACAATCATGCCAACAGTAAACAGGAAAACTCTTAAAAAAAGAGAACAAATTTCAATCGTGCTCCACAAGCTCTCTCGGTTCTTGCCTATAGGCGTCGGTTATCAAATTATATCGACCATTCCAGCTAATTCGTCGTTTCCATCCCCGTTTCGCAATCCCCTCTCCTCCCCTATTTTCGTTCCACATCCCCTCCCCGCCTACAACCGCCGGCTCTAAGCTCATTTCCTGTGCGCCGCCTGGTTGTATTAATTTTAAATTAACTTGGGATAAAGCGTCGCGTCTGTTCAAAGTCCAAATCAAATGTCTGAGTCGCACACGTTCGCAAAGCGGCTGGTACGATATTGGATTTGTCTATAAACAAAATACATTTATTTTTCAATTTACTCACTCTCTGTTTCTGTAAGTTTAATTATTTTCTAATGTAATTTACGAACAATCGTTTGATCATACAACAAACCTTACATATATAATTAATGAAGTAGTACGTCTGATCTGAACTTTAAACGTTTTAGCTATGCCCAGGGAAAGTGGGATTAAATATTCTTATACCCACAACGTTACTATAAAGTATTTTTATGCAAAATGTTCTTCACTACAAAAGGTCGTATACTATACAAAAGGCAATGTGTAACTTTTCTATTATTCAGTACAGAAAGTATATAAAAGTGGAATAACTAAGAGGCTCTTCTTAAGAGCGAATAAAACTATTTTTTTCAAAAACTCTGCTTTCTTGCAGAAATAATCATATGTATTTTACTCAACTAGCATTAATAAATTCTACCCGGATTTGGAAATAGGTCTCAAATGTTACAGAAGGTTTATGATAGCCATACAAAAAGAGTATATCAGAGGCAAATATGATGATATTTTTTTTGTCACGTCTAGAAATCGAATAGCGACAGTATATAAGGGACAGTTAATTCGCTTTTTATCATTGTCTTTAGTCTTAATTAATAAGATTAAAGCCACAAAAACATCGCGACAACTAAAATGCTTCTAATCGCATCACCTACTGGATTAGCGTTAGGGAGAAATAAAGGATCTATTGTAGTGCCGGCGGCAGACTTGACGGAAGCGTCACCCCACCCCAACTGGGGAACTTCCCCCGGCTACACGGAAATGGCGGCGGGGAGCGGAGACAGCGGCATCCGGGGAAGTGGAGTCGGTAGTGGGTGCAGCCCAGTGTGGGCTTTGTTCCTCGAGCACCGACACCGCGACCCAGTTTTAGGGAAACCAGGCATTATTGGCTGCCCCGGTGCACTGACGAATTGCGAAGCTTCAGATTGTTTGCGGTAAGGGATGACAATGAACGAATTTTAATTGTACCGAAACCAATCATCCTTCTAAAGCGAATTAAAAATATTGTTACTTAATTTATTACGATTCATAACCACTTTATTGTAAAAAAAAAAATTTTATAATACTATATTATAAACAAATACTACAAATATTTTTAAATTTCAATTTTACACTGTACTAACCTTAACAAATATTTAATTACAACAATTTTGGTATTTTATAAATATACTAGCAGTCGCCCGCGACTCCGTCCGGGCGGGATTAAAAATAGATGTTGGCCGATTCTCAGACCTAATCAATATGCTCACAAAATTTCACGAGAATCGGTCAAGCCGTTTAGGGGAATTATGGGAACGAAAATTGTGACACGAAAATTTTATATACAAGACGAGAATTTTATATATAAGATTAGTTTCAATAATTTTAAATCAAATTAATTAAGAACTTTCAAATTGCAATCTAAATTATGACATTAAATAAAAAAATACAAATAAACTGTTCGATATTATTTTTAGATCTGCCAAAAACCACAAAAATATGAATTGTGTAATAAATCCTAATATTATGTTCTCTTTTATCATCGCTAAAATGTTTGTGGTAGCGCCATCTGTCAAAAGCTTAAATAAAAATAAAAGTACCTTAAAACAATCTTCACAGCGACATCTCTGCGTTTACTACGGTACTAGGTCGCGCTTTACGAGCTGTTTCTAACTTCAAAAGCTTTTTGTGCAATGATAGTGCTGCCAAAGCGCAGAAGGTGAGTAAATTACGAACTAAATTATGAATTTGGTCTGTGTAATAAATATATTTTTAACCAATATTGACAAATTATACTTGATTTTCAGGGATCAGATTTTCAGTTCTTGGGAAAATGTATTTCATAAAACAATTTATAGTTGTATTTACAATTTACAAATTGTAATGCAATTTAAAGTAAATCTTATAATTTTAGGGTTGCAGTCTGCGACAGAACACAATATTCACCGCAAAGATATTAACTACTTTCTTTTGAGTACTCTAAATGTAGTAAATGTAAATAAGTTAATAAACAAGATTTTTTAATATTTGCATTTATATGGCAGCACTTTGTTACTAAAATAAGAAATATAAAAATTAATTGAAAAAAAAATGTGTTAAAAAAAAGATAGCAGTTTTATTTTTTCTTCTTCTTTTCCTCTTTCAACTTGTAATTAAGTTGTGACTCTAGCATCATCATGTAGTAAGCATATTCTCCTCCCCACGGCGAAGAAGCAAGGTACCATTGTGTGAACATATCATAATCAAATGGATCTATATAGTTACATTGGCTGTCGTTCATTGCTGCCTTTAATATTTCAGCCGGCTCCAGTGGTTTGTAGTATAATTGTGCAATCCTATCACCATCCAACACCGTGCCTATAGCTCGCCTTATAGTGTTTATGTCAAAACCACGCAGTGTTTGTGCCAAAGAATGAACGTTAAATTCTCTATCTATGCCGTGGTATTTCATCAGGACTTTTTTTAATATTAACGATATGCTGCCGTAGTCACTTCTAGGAAACATGATCATTGATGAAAATGCCTTCAACATCAGGGCTCCTCTCGATAACCAAGGTTCTGACGATGTACCAATTACTAGAATTTTGTCTTTATCTGATAGGGGTTTTACAATTTCCTTGAATAAGTCTTTTTGTAATCGTGTCGGGTCAAACATTTTTTCTTCAGGTGGTACTTTCTTATAAAAAATTTTGTCAGCGTCCGAAATTAAAATTATAGTGGGTTGCATTAGTCTGCTCACTTTGTTAATTAAATTAAACATTTTTTTAAAGTTTTTTGGACCTGGGTATTTGTTATACACATTAAATGGTGAAAGATCTATTAAAATTGAATTGGTCTCAGTTGCCAAAGCATAAACGAGCGTTTTCTTTCCCGAACCTTTGGGTCCTACCAGAAGTATTGAACGGTTTGCATTGCGACATGAAGATCCAAGTGTTAACAAACAACGAATTCTTATTTGTTCTCGAACATCACCTATGCATGGCGGTGGGAACGTCGGTGTCCATTCAATTGCTCTCATATCAGCCGCAGCATAGTTTCTGTCGCCCCAAAAATCATCAATGGTTAGACGCTTATGCTGCTTAATGATGCCTTCGTCGAATAATTCTTGAAACATTCTAGCTGGAGGTATTTTTTCTGGTTTCGGTACTCTAGGTTTCCTCGGTTTTTTCCTTTTTTCACTTTGAGGAGGCTTGCTGATACCAGCCACATTGTAATCATTTTTGAGCGACACCTTTAACTGTTCTAGTTCTAATCTCATCATCTCATCCACAATGGGCCGCAATTGTAAATGTACTTCTTGATAAGCAGTACCTATAAGTAACTCCCTTATGTAACCTTTAATTACCTCTAAGGGAGGATCTGGTACATCAATATTTCTCCATTGTATTTGATAATCTTTCCACGCTTCCCGTAGCCTTTCAAATTGTTTACCTACAGACAAATAGACACCTGGATCGTTAGCTGGATTGAGTCTTGATTTTCTATAATCACTAAATCTTTTTTTCTCCTTTTCCAATGCTTCTTTCTCTATTCGTCTTTGTTCAAGTTTAGCTTCCAATTTTTCTGCTTTAATTTGTTGTTTTGTCTTTGGATTACCAGCTTCTTCTTTAAGACGTTTATCTTCTTTAGCTCGATATTCAATATATTCTTCTATCGTAAATGTTTCTCCTTTTACAACTAAGATTGATCCGCCCTCTTCAGGCCACGGAAACTCATCAAATGTACGGACTTTGTTATACCACACCCTAAACCACTCCCTAATTTCGCTGGTAATATCGTCCATTATATGGCCTTCTTTGATTTGTAAAATGCGCGCTTTTTCTTTGATATGATCTTCTAGCCACGTCTCATGATATTTTTGTCTATAACTTCGGCGTATCTCTTCTACTCTCCTTAACTCTGTTTTTGCTGATGGCTTAGGTTGTGAGATTATAATCATTTGAAGTTTTTCTTTTAACAGATTTTCTCGTTTTTGCTCTCGCTTAATTTCCATGAATCGCTTATAAATCGTTTTAATAAGAGCAGCGGCCCTTTCTTTCATATATGGCGAAGCTTCTGGTTTTTTAAGACCTGCAAGCTCCAAATATAAAGCCTTATCTTTATTCACTTTCTTAGCATTTTGTCTTACAATATTTCTCGACCGTTCCATTCGTTGAATGTTGTTTACATGTCTGTTATATTCTTCTTCTAACCTCCGTTTCTCCATCTCTTCGGGACTCAGCACTTCTGAATGTATGGATTGAACGTCTTCACCAAGTGCCAGTTTTCGTCTTATTTCTTCTTCTTTCTCTTCCCTTAATCTCATTTCTTCTTCTAAGCGTTGTTGTTCTTTGAGTTCCAATTCTGATTGTGTCGGTGTGGGATCACCGATACGATTGCCGGCGAAAATTTGATCGATGATATATTGCATTTCTTTTTGCCTAATTTCAAATGGATAGAAAAATGGACAAAGTATTTCCACGTCTTGGGGTATAATGAGCATTTGCTTTAGGGCGTTATCGGTATATGTATATTCAAAAGCTTCAACAGTTTCTAGCGATGCTTTTAATTCCAGTAAACGACAAGTTACAGTGTCAATAATTTGTCTTATGAATGGACGTCTTTGTACTTGATCCATTTGGTCATAGCATTCACATAATCTGTTATACAGTATACAATACTGAGAGTACACTCTTGCAACTATTTCTATTGCCGTGGCTTGAGGTTTAATACCTATGTTGTCTGATGCTAAGTCTTGGATCTTCTGATCCGCGGCTAAGGCTTTTTCGAAATCGTCTTTTATTTTCAACCATCGTTCGTAATATTCTTTGCTGGCCATTTTTAAATTTACTTTGTTTGAATCTAAATTTTGACTTCATTAAACAGTAATTTATAATTATTATCTGGTACACTTAAATAAAACCATGACAGTGTTCAATGACAATTATGTCACAGGATGTCATTTTACTTCTTGAAATAAGTCTTATAGAGTAAAAAACTTCCCACGCCGTATTTTAATTTTGTAAGTTTGTAATTTTGTAACTAAATACTGTGAACTATGAAATATAGTCAGTTATTTTAGCGTTTGTAAAGTTTGACACCATATACTACATTTAACATAACATATTGAATTGAGACGAATGTTTCTTATCATTGGTTATTACGAGATATGTTACTTGTGAGTTGGGGGTGGGTCGACAATGACGCTTCAACCCTCGCTCACAATAAAAATGTTTTAAGTGCGCCTCCGCGCGTTCCATTGAGCGTCAGTAACGACGACGCACGCGCTCCGCGACTGTATCCGGCCGGCGCGTGCCGCTTGTGACACACCGCAAGTCATAAGTGGTAGCGATTTCAATAGAGTAGTTTTTGGTGGTTTTTTTTTAAGACAGACAATAAGAAATTGTTATAACACTGAAAACGTCTATATTTGGGTATCTTGCACAATAGTTTATAACAATATTAATTTAACTGTTAAATAATAAACTGTACTGTACGTCAAGAAATTAAAGGGTGCAATATAATTATATAGGTAAAAATTCATAAAACAGCAATCATGATAGGTAATAAAAAAAATACTAAATGATATAGCATTACTAATAACTTCTTTTTAAAGGTTACTTTGCGTGATTTCATGAAATATCTCTTCAGAAATTGATATTCAGAAAAATCGCTATTCGTTGGTAATTTGGGCCACTGGCTTAAACAGCATCGCCCAAAATGCAACGTAACAATGATTTACTCAGTATCCCTCCTATGTATTCATTACGGGTGTAGAATTTAAGCCATTTATTTTGTTAACTCTGTCTCGGTCAATAAAGCCTGTCGGGGGTTGGACTAAAGGGATCGTCGAGCTTTGATAGTTCGTAATCTTAAAACTGGTGTCGCGACTGTCGCCCTATTAGCATACTTGTAATCATTACGATCCGATACTTCGGGAAATATAAAGTTAGGGCGGTGATAGAACACTATCGGTATCGATAGGTCCTATTTTATTTATGAAATGGGGGTTTTAAAAGAAATTTACCGAAACTGTAAAAAGTGTGCGCGCTCCGAACACACAAAGTTGAATCGTCGACGCGAGTCGTCTATTTAGTCAGTCCGGCATAGTGACTATAGGTATACGCAGCGCCTTTTCATAATGAACTTGACAGGTAGCCTGTGACTGGCTTTAGCAATGTAAGTATCATTAAAATTACAGATTTGTTTATAGTCTAATGTAATACCGATGGACCAGTAACAATGCAAATGATTGGTAAACCAGCCACCTACAAACATTCTTTAAAGTATCACTTATCATCCTCGCCGTTATGTTTACCCTAAAAGCTGTTGAAATTAGCAAATAGTCTGCGTTCCCACGAGGGGGGTATCTTCATTAATAGAGAGGGAATCGAAGCCGTGACAAATTCGTCGCATGCGCGCCGACCGGGCACCACCCAGACAGTTAGCGGGCCACCGGAACAGACAGACACAATGATTGACTGTTCAATTGAGTGCCGGAGTTATTCGGGATTGCACACTCTCCGCCAATTACGCTAAGCGTGCGCGTTTAGTGTTGTGCAGCGAAATATCGATATCTTCATTATTTTATCATTGTATTATAATTATAAAAATAAGTTGAAAACAACTCAAAATAATACTAAGTTTAAGCTACAATAAACGAAGATATATTTTAATCTTACGTACGGCACGGTAAAAAACCATAATAACATATTTTTTTTTAATTTTTATTATGTATTATTATGAGGTCGTTATATTAAATGAAGGGAGAGTGTGTTGTGTAATTATTATTGTAATTTAATTTATAAAAGGTTGAGTTAAATTATTACATATTTAAAAAATGTATTATTAAGTCATACCTAAAGGAATTATAAAATGAATGCAACCAATATTGACCATTCTTCGATTTAATTTCTTGTTCAGTAATTTAATTGACACTTTCTAAATGTAAAAATCACACATATAAATACGATAAATTAAACTTAATATTATTCTATAAACAAACATGTTTGACTAATCATCAATTATGCCAGCCACTCAACCCTAAAATATCACAGAGCGTGTCCATTGTAACCGCATGAGATAAAAAAATCATGACTGGGACGCTTATCGATAGAATTTAGACTCTCGATCCCACGCGCGATAATTCGATACGCACAGTGGCTTACAATCAGCGCTTCACTATTATTTATTAATGTTTATTTAGAAATGCTTTATCAAATGTAAAATAATGTCTTAATGTTGCAGTCTATATATTTATTATAAACATACGAGATATTAATTTAGGTACATATTATTTTAATTTAATTTCAAAAGGCAACTTTAGCGACCTTTTTTGTAAAGTATTTTAGTAACACGTTGGGTTACGTCGTCTTTTGTCTCTACTTTAAAGTTGAAGCGTGTACGTCATTAGTAGATGTATTAATATACTATTAGGAATATAATATGAGTAAGCCTGGGGATACACTCGTCAACCCGTCACGGTCGGCCATTGGAAGCGGTCCTTGTAGTAGAGAGCTCTTAATTATTTAGGAACATGTGACGGCACGCGCCGTCGTTTGTTTGACGACCTTAACGACTGGTATTTTTTGAATTACCCTTTATTAATTGTATATTTTTAATTAAAATAATATGTTAATAGTTTCTAATTTAGATGTAGATGTAAAGATATTTTATGTTTGTTAAACTTTAAACAAAATACTGAAAGTTCAGTCATTTGGACATTTACCATTACCTTCTTTCTCTTTTTGAATTATTAGATTTTATATACAAACCATGACGTCACTTTTTATTTACCTAACTTCCTAAGGGCTCAGTGATTTTAATAAATGCGACTACTAATTTGACTATCACTTGACAGATTTTCTAATTCGTCTAATTATCGAGTTACACTTTGTATTTACGCGTAAAAGAAACCGCAAAGGACTTGCTAGCCGATTGCCCCTAGAGACGCTCAATTGACGCATCAGGCGGCCGACATCAAAGGGTCGGAGCTCAATTCATCGGACAATTAAAAGTTTTAAACTGCAGTCAAAGAGACGATCTTCTTGCTTCGCTGCGCGGATAAATGATTGAAATTGATTTGAATGTGATTTAAGATTTTCATCTTAATAATACCTATAATAGTGAAATCTGTTTAAAAGAGAAATAATGAATGACTGAAAAATAAAATCTGAAATGTAAAGTTACTAAGTTTCGTATTTATTTTAACTAGCTGTCGCCCGCGATTCAATCCGCGGGAAATTATAAAAAATTTAGTAGGCTAAACTAAAAATTAAACTTTTTAAATGTTGAGAAGTGCCTTCCTTTCGAATCGAATCTGGAAATAGGTTTTGGTTTTAATTTTAATTTTTTACTCGGCGTTAGTTATATGAGACAAACCTGAAGGAAAAATAAGTATATCCTTTAGTATATAGACAGTATGTACATATTTATTACACGTATATGTTATGACGTCATTAATCAGGCTGCGCGGTGACATCACCGACGCGAGATAACGCGGGCGGTTCACTTATTTACATGAGATAACGTCTACACCCGTAACGAATAAATTATTGGTCGGAAGGGGAGATTCGGGTTGGGGGAGAGGGGGGGATTTTTCTCATTTTATAGCCTATATTCATGATCCTTGGATCGGGATGATTTTATATTAGATTAATAATGTCTATTTCCTAAATTAAATTATACTTCAATTGTGATTTAATAATTGCAAATAATGTAAAAAAAATGTAATTTTATCTCTACGAAGATAACACGAATGTATTCGAAGATTTTGTAATGTTTATTATTAATATTATTAAATGTTTATCAACTAACCTGAGCATTTTGTTCCTCGAAGAGTATCGGTAAGCGCCGGTGTAGAGTAACCCTTGCCGAGACCAGTTGCGAGCTTATCAGAACCTGTAATATAAAATAATTAGCAAACACAAAGTTAAAAAAAGACAAGATAGTTCTTAGAAACCGTAGAGCTTACGAACCTGAAATTGAGCGATAAATATCAAAATAAGATGGTCTTTGCAAAAATTACGTTAATTTAATTAAATTTGATTAATTGTCTCCAATTAAAGCTGATTTTTGTTCTATTACAGAATTCTATAAACATAGTAATACTATGATTAGAATAATCACAGCTTTTAGCTTTCACACTTGCATAGCCGTAATGGGACAAGTTTTTTAAATTACACTGTTGAATGATTTTATGAATTAAAAACTAAAATAAAATCAAAACATAATTATGACATTGCCGTATTAAAAGAACGGATGCTAGCTATACAAAAAAGTCATTAACTTTGTCGATTATTTAAATGCTCCCACGATAAAAAAAATTAACGCGTCACTCCGCAATGGAATCATTCGAGCAATATGTTTTGGAACTATTTATTTGGCAAAAAGGCAATCCACTCAACGTTATATCATAAATCTCTCAAGCAAAGGGGGAGAGGCCATCACTGGTGTATCTTTCGCACAATTAAGTTCTCATTGTCCACGCCACGGTTCCCATGAATTTGGGCAAAACAACGCAGCATGCGCGCGCGCAGTTCAGTCGCGCGCCGCTTATTGTCAGCGGAAGCGAACCAAAAGACGCGCGCTTCGACCCCACTAGTGCCATTACAACTGATTTATTTTGCGCGTCGTCCATCGATTGAGTAATAATTGTTTGTTTGTATAATGCTAAAGGGATGGAGAGCTTCGAGTGCGGATTATTGGTTTAGCGGTGGCTTAACTTGTACGACTTCGGTCTCCCCTTTTGAAAAGTCAGTGTTAACTTTTTGATTTCATATTAAAGTTGTGTTTGCAAAGCAATTTTATTTGACACAGGTAACCACCTGATCACTGCAAGAATGAAAACTTGACTAATGTGGTATAAAATCAGTATTTTAGTAGTAATGTATCTAATAGTTAACTAACTGAAGTTTGTGTAGATAACTACGTCAGTATAAAACATGTAATCTCTTGTCTCTGAGTAACAATTAAGAAAGCATTAATAATTTTGCGCTCATTTAATATTATTGCCTATAATTACTTAAATGTAACAATTACTCTGAAAATTTTATTCCATTGCTCATAATAATAAAACACTACCAACATAGTTATTTATTTGTGTAAATTCACGGCAGTCATATCAATTTGTTTAGCCTTTACGAGGGTACAAGAAAGTGGTTTACACTAATGGGTAAGGAATGAATGTTGAGAAATTGTTTCACTCACGATTTCCAAGATAATTTGCAGTAGTTTTATTTATTATACCAAGAGTTTGTATAATAGGGCAATTTTGTAAAGATTAGTTGATGGTAAAATTTTATTTTTATAATTTATGTTACGCTATAAAATTATCGCATGTAAATAATCATTAATTATATACGATTGCAACATATCATAAATTCACTGTTTAGATGATTAGGAGTTAACTATTTATTCTCAAAATTATGCATTGAAAATGCAAACCTTTTTCTTGTGTAAATCCAAAAATAGCCACATGGTTTCTTCATATCAATCTGGGTTATGAGCGAGAGTTATGTTGTTAGATATATGTTGCCCGATTTGTTTTTTAAATATAAATTAAATTAAATCATTGATATCAGATAACTTGCTGAATATTTTAATCTTCTTTTTCAATTTCTCGTCCCGGCAGAACGGCAGGACGGCAGTCCTCACTAATGAATATGAATTGTGAAACAAACCCCCTATCCCTTTCGTTTATGTAATAAACATTAAAATGGAATCAATAAACTCATATCAGGGCTACTTCGTTACTATACTGATACATTTTTATCATGAAACGATATCAATTACGATATACGATTTATACTAAGTTAACATTCTGCATACGGCCTTTGTTTCCATTGTAAACTACGAAATAATTGACGGATTAAAAATTTAATTTTATTTATAAAAAGTAGTGTTGTGTAATGTGTTTTGTTTGTTTTGAACTATGGCATACTTTAAATTTTAGCATTCGATGTACCCTTGTTATGATTTTAAAATCTTTTCTTTATACAGCTCGTTGTTTCTTATAACACTAATGAAACCTTAAAACATAATTCGTGATTTGTTACCAAGTAGATAAATTGTTTAAATACATAAAAAAAATAGTTACATGAATAATTGAAAACACTGATTCAAAAGAAGCATAAACGATAAATATGGAATGCTGTTATAAGTATAATAAATAGCAGACGCTATCTGTCTGTATTGTCGACAGGGGCGTATTGCAATCATTTTCGTGTTAACAACTCTTTAACTCTGCGCCTAGGGGTTTATAAATTTTAATATGTAGCTTCTAATCATTGGAAGATTAGGGCAGGCAGCGCCCTCTAGTATAGCCGAGCGTAGATATTCGCGTTAATTTGAATATTATGTAAATACGTTTGAACTCTGCCTATTTTCTACTTATTTGGTATTCTTGGCTCGTTCAAATACTTATCAAGCGACGGTTGTCTAAGGGGTTCCTACAAAATTAATGTACACGGGGAAAAATAACTGAGTACTGTTTGTTTTGTTACGTTTAAATTTATTTCGTTAGATTTGACTTTACATTTTTGCTTTGTTTTGTAAGATTTTTAGGTTACGATAGAATTCCGATTTATTTTTAAATAGCGTTGGTATTGCACTTCTTTGTTTTCAATCGCTCTTATTTGTTTCTTAATTTTTTGTTAAAGTTTTTGTTTTCAGTTGGTAAATATTATTACGCTTTACGAGCGCTTCAGTGGATATGAAGAATAATAAAAATTTAATTTCTTGATCCAATTTATAGTCTAATGATAGGAATAAAAGAGAATAAAACGATATCATCCAAAGGTTTCTCCTCATTGTTTCTTTTTTAAATTGAACTAAAACATGGGCGGTTTTAATCGTGGTCTTTCACGCGGTGGGCGGAAAGGCACCACGGCGATGGCAGCTCCACTACAATTACTCGTTCCGAATTAACATTTTTTCGCAAAAGGCATTTTTAATGGAAAAAAAGTCCATTGTCTTTTTAGAACGGTTTCATTGTCTCGCAACTCTTTTATATCGCCTCTCGGTCCCTGAACATAGCGAAACCTTTTATTCTCTGACGCGATGCGGAATGAAAGACTCCCGTTTGTCTGAAAAATGCCCTCGAAAATATTTTTACGCTCTCTCCATTGCGCTCGGCCCAACAGTTGCCAGATTTATTTTTTGCGATTGTATGTTTTTTTTTAATGTGTTCGCAATCTTTTTTACGGCTTTTATGTGGTTCTTTTATAACACACATCATCATACGGAAAATAAAGAAGTGTTGTCTATTTGTTTATTTGTTAAATCCAAAAATAATTTGCAACATAATTATGTTACTGCGAATTCGATTAATTTACCTTAAGTTGAAAATCACACGTATTTTACATAACAGCGAATTTTGAATTGTCATCGGTTGATAGTAAAAACAACTATAATTTCTGATTACAAATTGCGTGATATCTAGTAATTGTATTGATGTATTCAATCATACGGCAGTAAGAGCATAGGAAAATATTTAAAATTGACACCTTCATAACAACAAGTGTGAGACATTATGACAACCCGTAGAAAAAAAGTTGGAGACATATCGGCTTCTAACTAAATCTTTGAAACTATATATCCAAACCTAACACAGTAGAACCCCCGAGTTAAATTGCGTGTATCTAACTCTACCCCCAGTAATAATGAACTGTAGGTAGATGATAAAATTTTATTTTCATTAGTATTTATCAAAAGCGATGGGATGATCTGCTGGGTGTGTGGGCGGGAGCGTTGCTATGGCGACCTGGGGTGTCGCGTCCCGCACGCCCCCGTCTTGTTCCCTCGATAGCGATTGTTATCTTTAGAAGAAGCTCGCTCCCCACCTTTGCTACAATACCTACAGCTTTTGCTCATCCAAAGGGTTTAAATCCGTACCTCGACTGAAGCGAATGCAGCTTTACGTCTTCTCCGTAGAGCCATATTCGGAACAACCGAGCTTTCGCGAGTACAAATCGATTTTTATTCTTTTGGAACGTCGCACCGTGTCTCATGGAATATCATTTGACGACGGTTACAATGGACCTTAAAATGGCGATATCTCTTACAGCGGAGGGTGTTAAATTTAATGCCTCGAGGATACCTGCTAACGTTCAACAAAAGCTAGATAGTCATATTTGGTGTACTAAACTTTTCGATTCCAAAATTTAAGCAATAAAATTGAACTATGGTTAGTATTATGTTTTTTAAAGAAATGATGGAGTTTGACAGCACCAGTTAGCTGTATTACGCTTTTCACAGTTTCGATGCGATTACAACCACACAAAGGTTAAACATGACAAATATTTTAATCAATGAGTCTATAGCGCGTTACTGTGATAATTTCCAGCTAAGTAATAACTCCAAGATTTCGTGGTCTACTAAATTAAGAGGAGCGACCAATTATTGAGTATTGTAGGAGCACTAGGTTGGTTCAAAATACCTTTATTTTTTATTCAACAACAACAGCTCATCAAATCAAAGGTGTTCTATTTTGTACAAATAACAAAGTGTGCTCAGTAAACTAATTGACAAAATAATTATTAAACACCCTGGGCACGGACCTGTGATGTCATAAAGTCGCCAGTACTTATGTACTTTATACTAATGTGTTAAGTATGTGAGATTATGAGTGACTGTTTTGTATTCTCCATTTGATGGTAATAATTGTATTCATTGCTTTACATTCGCACACAAGCATACATAATTAATCGTAATAAACACCATGTTTCTATAACCGTGGGGCTTCACTGCCTAAACACTTGTTTACCTAAACACAAATACATTTAAGTTAAACATCGTATCAAATTTATTTCATTGAACAAATAGGGATGGCAAGTTCCTCTGTAAAATAAATCGTTCGACAGTGAAGGCCCACTGTTAGCTAGCAATAGTAATAAAACAGAGAAAAACTAAACTAAAGATTATCGTCTCAGATTTAAAGTTTTAATAAGGTCAAAGGTAAAAATAAAATAAAATTTAATATTATAGTAGTCGCTCGCGCTATGCATTATCAAAGAAAAATATTTGATATAAAGTTATAACTAACAACTTACCGATTTTATTTTTATCAATTGATCCCAGCATGCTTTCATCCGTTCTCGTGGTTCTGCCGAAGCCCAGAGTCGTACTGGATGCATCCTGCCCTAGTTGACCACCGTAAAAATCACCGAATGCAGTCGCGGTGCCTAGGAGTCCAGACCTGTCTTGCAGAGCGGCTTTCGCTTTCTCTACACTCTGTTTCAATTGCTCGAAGGTACTCTGATGGAGACGGTACGGCGGCCATTCTGTTGCCGGCCAGGGTTCCTCTTTTAATGCGCTTCGCTTCAATTCCAGAGCTCCGGCATAAGAACAGCTGCTTTCGTACATTGCAGTTTTGACACCTGAACGCAGCGCTGTGGCACACTTCACTCCGCGGTAGTCGACCCTACGACAAAAACAAATTATTTTTATTGTGAACTAGCTATGCCTGCGACTTCGTCCGCGTGAAATACTATCTTTGAGCTACGCGCGGTACTGGACAGTACTTGGACATTGCAACATAATTTAATTTTTCTAAAATCAAAGTTTTTTTTCTAAAATAAACGTAGTCTAAGTTACTCCTTTAGACATCAGCTACCTGCCATCAAAGTCACGTCAAAATCGGTACAGCCATTTCAGAGATTAGCCGAAACAAACAAACAGACATACAAAAAATTTCATTTTGCTGTATGTACCGTACCGTAAATATATTCATATATATGCAGTAAAAACGATTATTTTAATATTACAAGCAGATACTCCAATTTTATTTATATGTATAGATTTCAAATGTCGTGACACTTGTATACGAACACTGTTGTTATCACTCTTCTTTCCAAAAAGAATGAGAAAGATAGCGATATTGCAATACTGGTGTTACGCCAGTGAGGAATCATAGTTAATTGCATTAGGTATTGATAGTAAAATACATGACTACGCTTGAAATAGTAAAGGTGATTGACATGTGGCTAGTTTATTCAAAACAATTTATATAGTATTTGCATATTTAATAATTTATTTGTATCTGTTTTGTTTTGTTTATTCATATTTGCATATTTTTATATTTTACATTGTATTGCTTAACTAATAAAAATTCAGTGCTTAAGTTGAGGAGTTTTCATTCCCTTGTTTAGTTTATAAAATAATTTCTACGCCATACACACTGTATTCGAATTGACGATACTAAGACGGTTGTAGCAAATATAAGCTGTTGCTGGACCTATACATAACTTTCACATAATAAATATTTTATTCCTCTTCTGAACAATTATGTTTATGTCAGATGAAACCACGTAGAACACAGGTCGCTACAATTTTGCTCTGGTTTAATAATCATGTGGTTGTTAGACTATTATTTCTCCTCATAGATTTACTCATGGTCAAGTACGTTTAACTTGGCTCATCTTGGTTTGATATAGCGTGTTAAAATATAAATTGAAGCTCAGCTTTAGTGCTAATATTAGAGGAATTATCCAGATCTTTATTAAATTAAATCAAACTATAGACTATCCTTAAGAAGTAAGTATGTATGCTGAAAGCAAACAGAATAAGATCAAATCATATCGAGTTTATATGCTAATACGAACTTCATTGTCCGATTTCAAAAGTGGAATCCATTGTGATCCGTTTAACTTCAATTTTGTTCACTTTTTTTAGCCGACTTCAAAAAGGAGAAGGTTATCAATGCGTCTGTATGTTTTTTTAAGACATACAATCGGGGATCCACATTACGAGGCGGTAGAAAACAATTTATTCCTTCCCGGAAAAGCGGGCGACGATACCAATTAAACAGGTACAAAGCGATGACATTAGATTGTCAGGTTCCGATAAGATACAGCTGCACTACAGTAGGCTTCCACTGCCGAAACAATCGTATAAAACTAACTATTATCATACTCAAGCCTTTCAAGGAAAAGAATCAAATTCATAATAAAATAATGTACAAAGTTCTCTAAAATGACATATAAAATAGTCATAAGTATAAAATCTTATAATAAACTTAAATATTTATAAGGTAATATAGATTTTTTAGATATAAATTAATGTTATTCTCTATATTCTATTAGTCTGTCAAATATATATGATATAGCCAACAGAAGATAGTCAACAGAAGGTTAGGTAACAGAAGTTTTATTAATTTTTTTATGTTTTACAATTCTTTAAGTGGTAATAATAATCTCTCACCTCATATCTGATATTCGTTTTCTTTTCTGTCGCTTGGCTTTTTTCTTGGTATTTTCCGTGGTGATGTTTTAAAGTGGTATCACATTTCCGTGATACCACTTTTTCACTTATAAATTACACCAGCACTTTTATTTACAGTTAATATACTAAATATCGGAATATAGAATTATACATTATATTTTCACTGAATTTTCTACTAATTCGCTAAAAAATATAATCGGTTAGCCATAGTTAAAAATCGCGGGAAAATGAATTATCGTAGGAAGATGGTGAGACAGATAAGTAATGTTTACATGTCCTATTAGAGTTTATTGATAGGAACGGCTGGCTAGGGGGGCTGGTAGGTGTGACTAAGTTGGCACACTCTATAGTGGACCAGAGAGGACAGACGGCGGCCTTCCGAGCACTGTACACTACGCGCCCGCGCAATGCGCTAGAGCGCTCAAATTGATTGCATCCGGCATAAGGGAAATGTGCCGCATAATAAATTTATATTTGCTGCACAATTTGACCAGGGACGCTATCTACTGACATATTTTTTAAATTTCATAAAAAGTGTGACTTTTTTTTTTCAAACGCTAAAATTACAAAAATTATTGAAATGTTACATTATTATTAAGTAAAACTGATATGCAAAACAGATTGTTACAACAGAAATATATTTCCTCAAGGTAAGATTTCAAGTAGTTCGATTCAAAATATCTTATCAAGACAAAAAATTATACATACTCACTTTATTATATATGTATGTAAAAATTTAAACGAAAAATTCTAATGTTAGAGTATCATTTTACATTTTAATTCTTATTTGGTCAAGTACAGTCAAGGCTGAAAATGTTTTTGTACAAATCAAAAATCAGCTGATATTTTTGAAACCAATATGGTTGATTCATTTATGTACTGTAAATATAATTATTTTATTATCAATTGTCATTGTCAGTTGTAGATATTGCAATATGTGTACATTTGATAACCAGTAATTTTTATGTACTGGTCAGCGAATAAAGCCTTATCTTAATTTTTTTGTGTCACATAAAAATACTAGCTCAGTTCGATGACATTGTTGCATTATTTTACGTTCACTACAAACACTAGTCAGTTATAATTTAAATTTTTTAGTGATTAATTTTGGAAATTGTTATTTAACTAATTTTATTAAATTTTAGTACTTTACCGACTGACACAATCAATCACCCTTTCATTTTCTTTGACAACATAGAGACATCAATATGAATTAATTAAAGTATAATTGCAGTTGAAACCTGCAGTAATATTATACTTGAAATCATTGGGATAATATAAAGCTTACTCTAGACATTTTAATATTTATGGCGAATAGTGATCTGAAAAATATTTGAAATGTATTTCGATCGGGACGATACCGACGGCAAGTGGGCGCCCGGTCCGCCGCGCGCGCCACTTTAGCGCAGGAAGTCTGTACATTACCTTATTATATCCTACAAAAATGCCATCCGCCGACGAACCCGTCCGCCTAGCGTCGAAAGGTGTCTGTCAGCTGTTACCCTTCTCAAAACGTCTCTATGGAATTGATTTCAGCGCAACAGTCTATTAGCTACGAATATATATTCATTTATCAATAATAACACTGTTCAAAGAATTTTATAATGGATTTTTTTTTATAACAAACACTATTTTATGCGTCAAAAGTTGGCTTTGATCTAGTTGCACACAATCTTAATATAAAAAAATTCGAAATGGTAACTATGAAGTTTTTATTCTACTAGCTGTTGCCTGCAACTCTGTCCTCGCTGAATTAAAAAAAAAGTCAATTAGTAGTCTACATGTTCTTCTAGACTATGTTCTACATCTATGCCAAATATAAGCCTTCCATGAAACCGTTCTGGAGATACCACTAACAAGATGATCACAAAGTATATCTGATGAAACAATGTATGGTCAATAGAATTGAGTTGGCCTTGGCTTCGAATAAACAAAGGTCCAGTTGCAGAGATACGGAAGTCAGGTGTGACAGATACTGGACAAGCAATCATCAATTTAGCAGAGATTGCTTTGATATTAAGAGGATAAGAGACTTGTTGTTCATGTATTGTATGTTTACAGCGTTGTCTTTTATAAATCTGCTGTAACCTTTACTTCGACGAGATTTTTTGTAGCAAAAAAACTGTTTTTTTTACTAAAGTCATACTTACGTAATTTTTTCTAAACTATAGTTCAGTAGATTTTTTTAAATTAGTTGTTCGTCACACTGAACACCATCGAATTAAGGGTTAAATTCGTGTTTATGTAAGAAATAAATTGTTATTCTTCTAACCGTTTAACAGTGTTAGAGCCCGCTTTAACATCTTCGCACGAATCGGCCCGGCTCGCCCGGTGAAATACCACGACCACACTGAAGACAGGCGTGAAGTGGAAGCAATTCCGCATTTCGTCTTATTAGTGTGCGTCCCGGAGGCCAAATTTAGTCCTCTTACCCTTCCCACCTTTTTTCTTATAAGGAAAGAATGGGAAGAAGAAGTGGACTCTCCGGATGAGAGGATGCATGGAAATGGAAAATATTTTCTTTCTGTGCATCCTCTCTTAGGTCGATTAAAGGTAGGCAACGCATATGTAATTGTGTATGTCTATGGGCAACGGTCACTTCGCTATTTTAGCGATTTTAGGTGGCCACTCGCTCTTTTTCTACCTTATGATATAAAAAAAAACCGTGAATATAAATTGCCTGATACATTCAAATAAGATATCTAAAGGTTTCCACTGTCTTAAAAATTGTATAACAAATAATGAACAGTCTCATTCTTTTTGGAAAAACGAAAATAATACTATGTAGTTCAAGTATTTCTGTAGTGGAATTCCATTGATGTTACTGAAATAATATCTTTCATGTGAATGTTTCAACAATGTGAACTCACAGTAAGAATTGGCTGATAAATCAGTGGGTAAGGAACACTAATCACGGATTCAACGGAGCGTAAGTTCAGGGAGCAGCTCTTAGGATGAACGTCAAATACTGACCCTTCGCAAAGCTAATCTTTTGGATAATCTGACTCACGAAATAGTACTTATATGTATGTAATTTATTGCACCAAAACATACATTTCAATTTCTAGTATATACTTCTAGATAAACAGTTTTGCGGTTAAATATACCAGGTGCTAATTAAAATAGTAATATTGGCAGTAGTTTTTTCCACATTATTTTACCTATATAACTATTATTTAAAAACTCATACGCTTACTAATTTAAAATAATAAAAGTAAAACAATGATATAAAAATTAATATTAACTTGTATTCAACAATCTTTGTTTCAGTAACGCCATATACCGGGAAGGTTTAACTGGCCAAGCGTATACGACTTATAAAAAGAAAAAGAAATGAAAAAAGCGAGAGAGAATCGGGCGTGGCCAGGTCCTTCTACTTGATACCATACGTGTAAGTAACAATGACGTCATATACTCGTGCTATCAAGAATAAGCAGGATAGGCAGATAAACGGCAAGGTATATTCATCAACAACGTTTATTAACATATAGACATAAATCTAGTCGGGTGCTTGAAGTCAGCACCGTTGTACTCACTGCTTGTATAATATTCGCATAAATCACTCGAGAATTAATTAATGTACCCGACTTTACTTACATACCTATAATGGCGAATAAATTTATAGCGACTTGATGTTGCTTAATTTATGACAGTGCGTTTTTTATTGTCTTGTTTAGTTGTTTGTATTCTAACTTTATTTTAGTTAAGGAACTGGCAAGCACAATTAATGAACGAAAAGGATAATTTATTCGATCTTCAACAGTTTGTGAAAGGAAAATTTGTTATGTTAAATTGCTTATGTTAAATTACTTTTTCAAAAGTCTGGCACTATTCAGAAGTTGTTTAACTTTTTTTTTAATTTAGAACATGAAATGGAATTAATTTCAAAAATACAATTCACAGCATTCTTTTTCATTCATTTTGAGATAATTATTAATAAAAATAAATCGTTCCACTTTTCCAGACAATGCTTCAATATTGACTTTAGGTTTCGACCTAGTTATTTCATTCAGTGCCTCCGGAAAGTCGAAAGCAGCGTTTTTCGTGTCAAAAGAGCAAAAATTCCATTATTACATTGACAAAAGAATGTTTTGGGAAAATGTTAGTTTTACGATTACAATTGAAATAAAATAAAACAAATTATTTGGTGAAAGTGACCATATTTGAGTATTTGTTTATGAAAGTCATTGATTTAAGTCTGCTGATATTCACAATCTGATTTCCTTAGGCAGGAAGGTTACTCAAATAATTTTTATCATTTAAAAAAATATCTATTGAGTAAAAAATGTTATTAAAATGAGTATAACATATTTCTAGGTATCCATTACCCAGTAATGTAGTAACCAAGCATATATTAAGTACTATCAGACATTTTTAAATCTTCTCTACTTTAATATTAACCTAAACAATGAACCTTTTTTGAAAAATACAATAAATTCTATATTAAATTGATAACAAATTGAAGAATTAAATAATTGGCTGAGCTGAGATTTGGGAGAAATGTTTGGAAACTTTTGTATTAACTTTAGCTTTAGTTTTTAAAAAGCAAAAAGTTAATCGATTAAAAATCATAACATTTTTTAAATGATTTGATGAGTGCTTCGCCTTCGATTCCACTTAATGTTAAGGGTTGATATTGTCGGAAGATAGTCCGCGCTAGCTTATTACTAATTGAGTATGCATTGTTTCTAGTACTTAGAAATCGTTTGCGCGTATTGATTACATAATAGCAGCGTGTAAATCATTTAATACATCATTTAATTTCGGTTCTAATGGTAACAATTATAGAGAAATCCAGATAAATTCAGAAAAGTTGTAACGAAGACGGCTTAATTTCAGAAATCCAGCATTTAACAATATATGTAAATATCTATCTAGAAACAATCCTACGTTATTGTTTTGAATAGGTGGTCCATAACAAATATTTAAAAAACATACTTTATTAAGTGTTTATTAAAAAAAAGAAAGTAATTGTCAATGGGTGGTAACTTGTGCACCTCCATTCAGCTTACCTTCAATCAATGAGCAGAACACGTCGCACGCGCGCGTCTTGACCACCGTCCATTTTAGAGGCGACGGCGCCTCACCGTCGGCTCGTCTCGTCGCCGTCGTACCGGACACGTCTCGTCA